AAAAAAAAAAAAAAAAAAAATAGAAAGGAAGAGAGAGAATTATTAATTTTAGACACTATGATTGTATACATAGGAAGTCCAGAGGAATCAACTGAAAAACTCTTAGGATTAATAAAATAATTCAATGAAGTGGCAAGATATATGATAAAATATGACCCAGAGATAAATGGACACAAAAATTTAGAATCTTTTTAAAGAGATTCCATTTACAACAGTGTGTATATATGTTTCATCTGGAAAAGATTAAAGAGAAATATGAATGACACATAAAACAATAAAATTGTTGAGTAAAACAATAAATTAGTTGAATTATTAAAGCCAAATTGGATAAATGGAATGACATTGTCTATTTCTGGCAAGAAAAAGTATAGCTATTATTTTTTCCCAATTAGATTAAACCTTTGATCCAGGCTTGGCGCCCGTAGCACAGTGGTTCCAGCACCAACCATATACACCAAAGTTGGTGGGTTTGAACCCAGCCCAGGCCAGCTAAAACAACAATGACAACTGCAACAACAACAACAACAACAACAAAATAGCCGGGTGTTGTGGCGGGCCCCTGTAGTCCCAGCTACTTGGAAGCTGGGGCAAGAGAATCTCTTGAGCCCAAGAGTTTGAGGTTGCTGTGAGCTGGGATGCCATGGCACTCTACCCAGGGCAACATAGACTCTGTATCAAAAAAAGAAAAAACAAAACAAAAACTTTGATCCAGTTTTAATCAAATCCAAATACATTTTTGACAACTGAAGGATCCTATAGTTTTCCTGAAAGAATAAATAGAAGATACATAAATGAATATCCTGGGGGAAGAAAATAAAGAGGATCTAACTCAGCCAGATTCAAACTTTTATGAAGCTAAAATAATCAGCATAGATATCTGATACAAAAATACACAAACTGATTGGTGGACTACAGCAGAGGGTCCAAAAGTAAACTGTAACCAACAAGAAATCTCAAATAGGGTGGCACCTGTGGCTCAAAGGAGTAGGGTGCTGGCCCCATATGCTGGAGGTGGTAGGTTCAAACCCAGCCCCGGCCAAAAACTGCAAAAAAAAAAAAAAAAAAAAAAAAGAAATCTCAAATATGAGAAGGAGCTCTTGTATTTAATAAATGGTCAAATGAAACTGCTACCACATGGCAGCACCATGAGGAAGTGCCTGCTGAGGCCCCAGAGAAGACACAGAAAGTCAGAGGTGGTGAGCACACTGACCTGGACCTGGGGGTTGTGGCAGAGCATCTATCTGTGTCCCCAGCAGGGAAAGCCAACCTAGTCATAGGGTTTAATAACACCAGAACTCCCACTGCAGGGCACTGATTAGCGTGGGCAGTTAGTTTCCGATCATGGTTGTATGTTGGAATCACCTAGAAAGCTTTAAAACTATTAAATGCCTAGGCCACACTCAAACCCAAGTACATCAGACTCTCTGGGGGTGGGGGGCTTCCTGTGTCAGTATTTTCTAACACTTCCTAGGTATTTCCAATGAAAAGCCAAGCTGAGAACCACTGGTGCTGGGAGAGAGCACGTGCAGTGCTGTCTCTGACTGAGCTGGGTTCTCATCTGTGAATAGGGCCACTAGCACCCAAGTGTAGGTGATTGTGAGCAGCCCAAGAGATGAAGTGCACAGTATGTGCATCCTGGTACTGCAAAAATGGGTGTCAGTTCTTTCTCTCTGCAGAGTGTATGGGGGATGCTTAGGAGAAAGCCTGGAGCTGGGGAGGTACCAGGGATGGAGATGCAGCCCCTCCCCATCTGGGAACCTCTTTGCTCTTCCTCCTCCCCACATCTAAGCTGAACTCCACTGGAGCACAGAAGGCCTGAGATGCCCTTGGCATCTTTTCCACCTGGATGTGTTCAGGAGGTGGGACAGGTGGCATAGACACGTGTTCTGTAAGGGGCCCAGTTGGCTCTTTTCCCTCTCTCCCTTCATTGTCCTCAGGTACCAGGAGCTACCAGGAGCACGGCCACCGGATGCTGCTCATTTGGCTGCACGGTGTGGCCATGGCTGGTGAGAACCCCAGCAAAGTGCTGTTCGAGGGCCTAGTGGCCATTGGCAGAAGGGACCTGGCTGGTAAGAGCATGCTCTGCAGGGCTCCTGCTCAGGAGCTACATGGCCCTCTCTGGAATGCAGCAGGGCCCTTGAAGGGCTACTCAGACCAGGCTGCTGGGACGATGGCCCAGGACCTTCCATATTCCTAGTCCTTGCCCTGCCTTCTTCATCCATGCCGAGACTTGGGCAAACCATAATGCCTCAGTTTCCCCATCAGTAAATAAGGATTTGGGCCCAAGTGAACCTTATGACCTTCACAGCCTCCAAGCCACTGAAGCTATCTATATTCTCTTCCATGCCAGCCCTCTATACCTTTATTATTATTTTTTTTCTAGTTTGGAATAAAGCTGGAACGGCCTTCAGATTTCTTTTTCACAAACATGAAGACATATAAGCCAACAACTGGCTTAATATGAGTAGAAGGAGTCAGATCTGGCCAAATAAGCCATCACAACCTATTTGAGGATGCCAGTCCCAAAAGCCTGGTTTAAGATGCAGGGCAAGCAGGATAAAAGGATCTAGCACTCATCCCTCATTAAAAACATAATCAACTCACAACAAAAACCCCCTAACCACTGTAATGTCTATGGACACGGCACATTATGGAGCAACCACGGGAGGGATATTAGGCAGTCACAGTTATGAAGCTTCGTTAGTGATGAGGCAATGAGGAAACCCGTTTCTAGTGCATTACGGAGGAAAAGGAAAGCCCAGCGTGGGGGCCAGTTCACAGCAGCTGCAGGCAAGGTGGGAAGGCAGGGGGTCATTTCAGGGTGGAGGAATTACTGATTCCTATATTCTTTTTCCAAACTATTTTTTTTTTTAGAATCTCACTCTGTCATCCTGGGTAGAGTGCCATAGTGTCAGCTTAGTTCACCAGCAACCTCAAACTTGTGGGCTCAAGCAATCCTTACCTCACCCTCCCGAGTAGCTGGGACTACACCATAATGCCTGGGTAAATTTCCTATTTTTAGTGGAGTTGGGGCCTCACTCTTGCTCAGTCTGGACTTGAGCTCCTGAGTTCAAGGGATCCTCTTGCCTTGGTCTCCAGAGTGCTAGGATTACAGGCATGAGCCACTCCACCTGGCCTGTTCTTAAATATATTTGTTGCATCTTTTAATACAAACTCTGGTAAGTGATTAAAACATACAACCAGCCCTCTGCTAGGCTCAGTGAGTGGCACAGGCCTGTAGTTGCAGCGACTCAGGAGGCTGAGACAGGAGGATCTTTTGAGCTCAGGAGTCCAGCCTGGGTAACATAATGAGATCTGCCTCAAACAAACCAACAAAAGCAGCTGCCCAAAAAACTTAGCCCTGTGAGGCAGCAGTCACACAACTCAAAGCAACATTATTCCTGTCTTTTGCAGAGAGCATTAGGAAGAAAGCAAACGCGGAGCCAGCCACCCCTAGGAGGTGCACAGCCATGTGACTGGAAAGTCTGTGCCTTCAGGCGCGTGGGACCCTGGAGTCAGGGGCATCCTGGACAGAAGATGACCACCGTTTAAGGGCTTAAAAAAAAAATCACTGTTAACAGATCTCCAGCTGCTTCTGCTGAAGTGCGTAGTCCTGCAGAGACCAGTAGGCAAATATCTGCACAGTAATCTTCTCCACTAGGATTGGTCCAAGGCTTGTTGCGGGTTTTGTGGGTAACCTCACTTCACTTTCAGCTTTATCATTGTAAACCTCATAGCCATCCCTGGAGGTGCAAGGGGCATCTTTACAAGTAGGGCACTCAGGCTCAGGGAGGAGAAGCAGCCTGTCCAGGTCGCATGCTAATTGGGTGGTGGGTCAGGTGCCATGGCCAGCATTCCTCCCACCCTAATCTGAGGAGTGGGCTCTGTGCATCACTTACAAGGGGACTGCCCTTAACCCACCCACTGGATTTAAAGAATTCCATGCTGGCTCGGCGCCTGTGGCTCAAGTGGCTCAGGCGCCAGCCACATACACCTAAGGTGGTGGGTTTGAATCCAGCCCAGGCCCGCCAAAACAATAACGGTTGCAACCAAAAAATAGCCGGGCGCTGTGGCGGGCAGCTGTGGTCCCAGCTACTTGGGAGGCTGAGGCAGGAGACTCACTTGAGCCCAGGAGTTGGAGGTTTCTGTGAGCTGTGATGCCACAGCACTCTACCCAGGGGGATAGCTTGAGGCTCTGTCTCAAAAAAAACAAGAATTCCATGCTTACTCCACAACCCTTTTATTTTCAAGCTTATCTATACATTTTGGCAGTTCCAGGAGGCACACACTCTCATTTTCCCCTTGTTTTATAATTTTTAAAAGTTAAGCTTTTCATTTCGAAATCATTTCAGATATACAAAAAAAATTGCAGAAACAGTACAAAGCATTTTCAAATAAGTAGTACTCTTCACATAGCTTCCCTAAATATTAACATCTTCCGTAACTGAAGTATAATTCTTTTTTTTTTTTTGTGAGACAGGGTCTTACTCTGTTGTCCTGGATAGAGTGCTCTGACATCATAGCTCACAGCAACCTCAAATGCTTGGGCTCAAGTGATGTTCTTTTTTTTGCAGTTTTTGGCCAGAGTTTTTGAACCCACCACCTCTGGTATATGGGGCCAGCATCCTACTCCTTTGAGCCACAGGTTCTGCCCCTCAAGTGATGTTCTTGAGCCTCCAGAGTAGCTGGGTGCTCACCACAATGCCCAGCCAGTTTTCTATTTTTAGTAGAGGTAGGGTCTCGATCTTGCTGAGGCTAGTCTTGAACTATTGATCTCAAGCAATCCACCCACCGTGGCCTCCCAGAGTGCTAGGATTACAGGCTACCATGCCTGACCCTACATATAATTTTCAAACCCAGGAAATTCATTCTGATACCATTAGCTAATCTTCAGATCTTATTCAAATTTTGTCAGTTGAGCGATCCATGTCCTTTTCTTAGGACTAGATCCAGTCCAAGATCAAAATCAAAATTGCCTCTATTATCATGTTTCTCTTTCTTGTTTTTTTTTTTTTTGAGACAGAGTCTTACTGGATGGAGTGCTGTGGCATCATTGTAGCTCACAAGCAACCACAAACTCTTGGGCTTAAGCCATCCTTCTGCCTCAGCCTCCTGAGTAGCTGGGATTAAAGGTACCCAACACAACAGCTAAAAAATTAGCTGGCCAATTTTTCTACTTTTAGTAGAGACAGGGTCTTGCTTTGCTCAGTCTGGTTTTGAACTTCTGAGCTCAAGTGATTCACTGGCCTCAGCCTCTCAGAGTGCTAGGATTATGGGTGTGAGCCACTGTGTCCCGCCCATTTTTCTCATTTTCAAGAGCCCCGTATGAAGGGACACCTCTCTGGAGCAGCACCATCCCGTAGAGCTTGCTACACCAATGGGAGCTTTCTGTTTTCTGCACTGTCTAGTAGGGTAGCCATTAGCCACCTACAGCGATTGAGAATTATTAAAAGAATTGTGGCTTGAGAGGCTGAGAAACTAAAATTTAATTTTCAGGTGGCATCTGTGGCAGGTGGTAACTGCCTTGGACTGCGGTTGGCTTTTAGGTGCCAGGCAAGCACAGCTTGTTGTGGGGCTCATCCATATCAGGAGGGTGTGTTTCCAGGGAACTGTGACTCTGGAAGCTTCATGGTTTCCCAGAATGTGGGGAATGTATTGGAGATGCAGGACAGCCTAGAAGTTCTGTCTGGACACTTTCTAATTTGAGCTTTCCTGCTATGGCCAGTTTAAGAGCCCACATCTTAGAAAAGCTCCCCTCAAAGCTCCCCACTGGGCCTGAGACTAGAAAGGACGTGGAATCAAAATTATAAGAGAGGGCCGGGTGTGGTGGCTCACTGTAATCCCAGCTCTCTGCGAGGCCGAGGCAGGTGGATTGCTTGAGCTCACGAGTTCGAGATTAGCTGAGCAACAGCGAGATCCCATCTCTAAAAAATAGCCAAGTGTTGTGGGTGCCTGTAATCCCAGCTACTTGGGAGGCTAAGGCAAAAGGATCACTTGAGCTCAAGAGTTTGAGGTTTCTGTGAGCTATGACATCATGGCATCCTACCAGGAGCAAGAAAGTGAGCCTCTGTCTCAAAAACAAAAACAACAACAACAAAAAAACACCAATCAAACCAACAAATAAAAAAAAACTGTCAGAGCTCCATGGGGCGTTGGCTACTGCACAGGGCTGATGGGGTTCGCAGTGGTACAGTCTTTGAAGGGCAGTCCGAAATTATCTATCCAAATTACAAATATCTTTACACCATGGTCAAACAATTCCACTTCTAGAAATTTATCCTACAGATAAATCTGTGTATATACAAAATGACAGGTATGTGAGGTTATTATTATCACATTATGTGAAAAAAACAGAAGATAGGAAAAGATTATGAATAAACAAAGGGACCATCTATAAAGGACTGGTGAGATATGGTCCATCCAAAAAAGAGTGAAGGTTCTTTTCATGTATCGTTATGGAAACAGCTCCAGGATAAATTAAGTACTAAAAAAAAAAAAATCAAGATATCACTCAATATATATAGTATGCTATTAGTATATATTGTTGTATAAGAAGAAAAGGACATAAGATCTATATTTGCTTATATTTGCATAAATAAAGCTAGAAAAAGGCCAAGAAGCTAAGTGGTTTCCCTGGGTAAGGAGGATAGTGGGGAGCAGTTGGACTGGGTTGGGGCAGGGAGAGAGTTCTTGGTGGGACTTTTTTTTTTTTTTGGAGACAGAGTCTCACTTTGTCACTCTTAGTAGAGTGCCGTGGACTCATAGCTCACAGCAACCTCAAACTCTTGGGCTCAAGCAATCCTCTTGCCTCAGCCTCCTGAGTAGCTGGGACTACAGGTATTTGCTATAATGTTTGGCTAGTTTTTCCATTTTTAGTAGAGACAGGGTTCCCCTCTTGCTCAGGTCTTGCTCAGGCTGGTCTCAACTTCTGTGCTCAACCACTCTACCTGCCTTGGCCTCCCAGAGGCTAGGTTTATAGGTGTGAGCCACTGCTCCTGGACTTATGGGGTTTAATGTGTCAATATTGGTTCATCAGTTATCAAGTGTCACACTGAGGTAAGATATTAATAATAGTAGAGAGGGATATATGGGAATTCTCTGCTCAATTTTTCCCTAAACCTAAAACTGTTCTAAAAAAATAAAGTATTTAGCCAGGTGTGGTGGCTCATGCCTGTAATCCTAGTACTCTGGGAGGCTGAGGCAGGAGGATCTCTTGAGTTTAGTAGTAGAGTCCAGCCTGAGCAAGAATGAGACCCTGTCTCTACTAAAAATAGAAAAACTAGCCAGGCATTGCAGTGGATGCCTGTAGTCTCAGCTACTCAGGAGGCTGAGGCAAGAAGATTGCTTGAGCCCAAGAGTTTAAGGTTGCTGTGAACTATGATGCCATGGTACCCTACCCAGGGAGATAGAGTAAGACTGCCTGCAGAAGAGAAAAAAAAATGTATACATATAAAGTATTGTAAAACTAAAAGTAAATTATACAAACAAAATGAAGAAAAATGAAGCTTTAAAATAAACCCACCCATTCTATTTGGAAGAGATAATTTTCTACCACATGAAACTTAAATCACTTATTTGGATGAATTTTACAAAATAAAATTTACATTATTTTTCCTGAGACAAAAAAGCAAATCCTTAAATATAATAAAATTGAAATTTTGAAATTTATCTCTCAAATTCAGCACAATTTCTTTTCTTTGAGAAATCTAGGACAAAAAATGATCAAGTTAGACATGCTATAGTGATTGGTTCTGTATAAACACAACCACTCAGCTCACCAGTGAATATCTATTGTGCTGTGCTAGGTGATCTGCTGAGAGTGGGCACAGACAAGAGCCCACAGTTCCTGCCCCTGGAAGCTGAGGGTCTAGTAGGGGACAGGGGCTCTGACCCTGAGCACCATAACAAAGTGCAGTCAGTGGAAAGAACTGTGGGATTTGTCCTTCCTTGGGGGAAGATGGTTCTGAGAGGCTCACAGAAGTGGGGAAAGGACAGTCCAAACAAAAAGCATAGTCTGTGTGAGGGGGTGGAGGGGTGAAGATAGGTCTTCTCAGGGAATGGTGGGGCTGAAACACAGGGAGAGTGAAAGGAAGGGACAGACAAGCTGTGAGGCAGGAAGGGTACAAGGGGTGCGGGGGGGTGGGACTAGAAATCATTCCCCACCCTGTTATCAATTTTTTTTTTTTTTTTTTTTTTTGTGAGACAGGGTCTTGCTCTATCACCCAAGTTGGAGTGCAGTGGTGTCATTGTTACTTACTGTAACAATGATCGCTCAAGCAATCCTCCTACCTCAGCCTCCCATGTAGCTGGGACTATAGGTGCATACTACCATGCCTGGCTAATTTTTCTTTATATATATATATATTTATTTTTTTGGTAGAGAAAAGTCTCACTATGTAGGCCAGCCTGGTCTTGAACTCCTGGCCTTGAGTGATCCTCCCACCTTGGCTTCTCAAAATGCTGAGATTACAGGTGTGTGCCACCACACGTGGCCAAAAATTAGATGTGTTGTAAGGTAAAAGCTGAACAGGATAGACTTCCTCTTTAGAGATGTACATCCACCTTGCCTTTCAGAGAGGACTTTGCCTTGCTAGTTATGTTCTTTCCCCCATTTTCTGAATTTTATTTTTTTCCCCCAAAGGTTGAAAATCCCTAATTTCCTTGTTTTGTCTCTTTTCCAACGTGCATTTGTTTACGGTTGCTCCCTTCCTTCAAGATATGTGAGTTCAGTAAATCTTGAACTCATCCTGGAAAAAGTGCTATATACCTCATTGCTGAATATCACCATGGTCACCAGGTGGCCAAGGGGAATACTTCAGAGGTGACTGTAGTGATGTTCTGCAATGAGGTATGTAGCACGTTTTCTAGGATAAGTTCAAACATAATAGTCCCACCTCATACTACACTTACTAAAACCTAGTCAAACCATGGGATAGTTTATACTTACAAGGTCTTTTCTTGTGGATCCCAGGATGATTTGTTGAAGGGGGACGGAACCTAGGTCACATCACATGTCATACTGAACTCATGAAGTTCCTGTGTTAAGAACTGGGGCTAGGCTCGGCGCCTGTGGCTCAAGCAGCTAAGGCACCAGCCACATACACCTAAGGTGGCGGGTTCGAATCCCCAGCCCGGGCCCGCCAAACAACGAT